TTTATTTTTAAAGTAAACCTTTCACACTAAATTAAAAAACAAGAACTGACTAGACGATACAAACAACTGCCACATCTTTTGGACTACAGATCTCCACTCAACTTACTAAACAAGCGAATAATCTACACCACTATACTAAGACCTATTTGGACTTTTGAGTTCCACAAAACACAAACACATAAACAAAATTCAAACCACACAATCCAAAATACTTCGTAAAATCGTTAATGCTACTTGGTATATTTCAAATCACACCATACACACAGACATGAACATACCAAAAGTAAAATCCTACATACACAAAATTTTATTCTTCTACTCTCAACCATCCAAATCCACTCGTTCTATCTCTATCTTACTTGGTGGCCTAGGGATCTTCTGCTGAAAAGTTAAAAATATCAAGAATTGAAGAAGACAGAATAAACTTCAACACATTTGCTTGATACGCTACAACGCAGTGGCAAATTTAATGAAAAATAAATAAATAAAAAAATAAAAAAAATGAAGTAAACCTTGATCATTGTTATTAATTTTTCAGGAAACGCGAAACATCATATTTTATATTCCAATTTTAATATCGAAACCAATATTAAAAAAAAAAAAAAATTCTTTATTTGTAGAACATATTTCCGAAATTCACTGATGATTCCTGTAGTCATTAAAAAACATTTATTTTGGAAATAAATGAGCTATTATTCAAAATTCTATCTTAACCCAACACCATGTTAGAGAGTAGAAGAGAGAAACATATGGTGTCCAAAACCAAATGATAATATATAGTACAAATACTAATATTATTACAACATTGAAATTTGACATTATTGACAATATATAAAAAATAAGAAGAGAAATAATATAAATGATAATTATAGCAAAAATGCTTAGCCATGGTGGAAAATATATAATAATATAACATTACATGGCCCCTTCCAACTGCAGATTTCGACATAAATATTATACAGTTGTTGGATACATCGTAAAATAGTAAATATTACTATTTAAATAAGTATATTATAAATCATTAAGGGCATTTTTAGGTTGTCCTTGCTTTGATGTTTATATATTATAAAATAGAGCTTTGTTATTAACTTTAAAAATTTCTTATCAAACGAAATTAAAATAATTAACTCTAACAACAATACACATAGAATACATGGATTAGTAAAGTTACATAAAAGTGATCCTCTAGTTAGTCCTATCATCAGTAATATCAATGGGAAAACTGAAAAATTTGGGTAAATATCTCAATTCCACACTCAATAACCTAAAATTAGATAGCAGCAATGATCTAAAAAACTCAATAGAGATGGAAAAAGATTAAATAAAATAGACAACAGGTGAATATTGTTTGATCTGTTTTGATGTAGAAAATTTGTTTATGAATATCAATAGGAAACAGCAGTAATCAAAATGATTGAAAAATACTGGGATACAATAGAACCGCATACCCAAATTAAAGAGTTACATGAAAGATATGGATTAAAATACCTCAAAAGCGAAAAATCGGACTTGCATACTGCAAGCGAGGGAAATGTTTATCATTTCATTCTCTTTATAATGAGCTATTAGTTATAATTTATATTTCATATTATTAACCTCGCGTGTTGATGTTTTCACTTCTATCGCGTGGTTAAAGCACACACCTCAATTTTTTTATACATTCTCAATATAGCACAAACATTAGTTAGCAACCTATTAAAATTAAATTGGACTTGAATTGACCCAATATTCACTTAACTAAAGGAAAGGACGATTTGATAAGTTTTGATGTATTATAGCCAATTTTAAATCCAAACAGATCTCTGAAGTATGAAAAATATAATAGCAATAATAATTGAATATCATTGGACACAGGTTGATGATTTCAAAACAAAGCGTTAAGTCACACTCAACTAAGTAATAATCAACCCGTCAAAGTTTCGCCAATTCATGTACGATGAGTACATAAAAAAAAATCGAAGGACAGGAATGATTCGAATATTTAGAGTTTTTTTCTAAGACTTTTACATCATTATTTCATAGTCGTAATAAAAAAAAAAAAAAAGAGAACATGAATGTAGAATAGTGATACAACATCTCACATCGACAGCTTAAAAAAATGTTAACGATAGAAAGGAAACGCGTCCAAGCAATTTTTCCAAAGTGAACCCTAGTCGATGTTTATGGAAATTGAGATAAGTGGTTTCTATTAAGAAATAATAAATCTAATGGCACAAATATTTGTTTCTTCAAAAACGATCTAGATATTAAAAAAAGTGTTGAGAAAATAATTTTATTTCGTAAAACTGCCTTTTTTTTCAAGGAATATAACGAAACTTGTATTGCTTATTGATAATTTATTTTTTTCGCATTTCCTACGAAAATCATTAGGATTCAGTCTGGAAATAAAAGACTTAACTGAAACCTCGTAATTACCAAAAAGGAGATTTTATATTTTAAATGATTACACGCCATCTATCGGTTTGAAGACGAGGTCGATGAATAAGAGTGTGTAAACAATGCAATGCCGCGGCATCTAGTATCTGATCATTAAACGACTTTTTTTGGTGATAACTCGTATTATCCCTTACAGAGAACAATCGAAAAACTGGAAAAAAATTTGTTTATTCAAATACATCATTGGATTCATGAAAAATACACAAAAATAAGTAGATTTTATAAGAGCTTTTTTTACTGAGATACGTTGCTACAACTGTGTCGTAACATTCTACCGCAGTAAAGGAAAAACATAATATCTCCTGACAATTTTAAAGCATGAATCATTTTCAAATAATTTGTATAGTTAAAAAAATCTTGATACATTAACTATACAAATTATTTATTATTATAAATTATTACTCAAAAAAAATCCTGATACATTAATTAAAAACTTATCTTTAGATTATTTTATTTTTTATTGTACATAGTTTTTAGTTATTGTTTTACTTTTGTTAATTTTAATTTTTTCTGTATATTTGGTGTGAATTTGTTCATATATCACTATAATTATTGTCCACGTGACAGAATATTATATTTATAATAAAGAAATACAATGTACATATTTATTTGATATGGTATATAAATATTTTAATGTTATCAAATCTTTTGAATTGAATGTGAATTTTTTAACCTGAGTACAATTATTTTAATTTCTGATCAAGAAACGTACGATTCTCCGGACAAGAATTGTTGATCCAGATAATTCCTTACAATAATTTTAATGAGGTTCATTTTTTTCTTTTAGTCGCTTTCTAAATCTAAGCCAATTTGAAATCAATCAGGTCTAAATATTAAAAAAAAAATTATAATCTTGAAATGAAAATTCCCGGCAACTTTATATTATTTTTGCATAAGTAGTATACTATTTTAGGTAATAATCGCATCGAATCCGAATGATGTCATCGATGTGATGAGGAAGTTGCTAGAGACGTATTCCAGATGGAGTCTGAGAATCAGTAAAAGCAAAACAGAGTACATGGTTTTCAACGCTCCAAATTTGTCCCTTGAAATTGATGACTGGACGCTCAATGTCAGCCAACAGTTCAAGTACCTCGGATACTGGCTATCTTCAAAGGGAGGTAGTGAGGTTGACATCGAACTTAAAATAAACAATGGGAAAGGAATAATAAGTTCGATAAATTCAATCCTATGGAGTAAAGAAATAGGATTGGAAACTAAAAAGAAGATCTACCATTCTTTTGTAGAAAGCGTAGCCATCTACGGATCATAAGTTTGGACAATTACAAAAAAGGTGAAAAATAAGTTGCTTTCCATGGAAATGGTTTTCTGGAGAAGAAACTCTGTGGCATATCTAGAATGGAGCGGATCCCAAACGCAGCAATTAGAGACAAGGTCGGATGTCAAAAAACATCCTTCAGCTCATCGAGGTTAAAGTGGTATGGCCACTTAGTACGGATGGATGAGAACCGCTGGCCAAAGAAAATTTATAACTATAAGCCACCTGAAAGAAGGAATATATATATATATATATATATATATATATATATATATATATATATATACAGGTAAAGACAAAAACGAATACTATAAATTTTTAATAATTTATGAATAATTATATTCAAATATTAATAACTTCTAAAGTGGGCCGAAATGTTTGTGAACCACATTTGCATGCCTTACTACAATTTTTTATGCCTTTTTTCCAATAAAAAGAAAATTTTGGTAATTGTTAAATTTATCACTATAAAAGATTTTATTCCTAATATAAATTACTTAAAATTCTGGATTTGTTTCGTTTCTGTTTTAAATCCTTCTGACTACAATTTAAAAGATAAAAATTAATATCATAAATTTTTGTACAGATTAATTAAAATTTTATTATTAAAACCTCTTGGTATCGCATGGAAAAGCACGACGACATACTTCAAAGAAACATGCTGTTGAAATATTTTGTTGCAATGTTATGCCATAATTGTCCCACTGTGCATTTTGACTATAAAATAATAATTTGTTGACAGACAACTGTTTTAAATTTTAGTCATAAACACTTTCAGTGTTTTTCTTTTTTCAAAATTTTATTAAACTGATATAGGCTCTCAAAATCATGATTTTTTTGGGTGGAGTTTTGAATTAGTGGAAGACAGTTGCTGTGTTGTAGTTTTGCAGATCATTTCTTTACAATCGATATAATGAAGGAAAAAATAATTCCTTTTTTATGTCACCAGTTATGTTTCTGTAAGTACAGTTAAACTTCCTCAGTGCGATGTACTTATCTTTTTTTTGACAGTTGAAGTAAGATGTGACATAGAAGTAGACTTTCGGATTTTATTTGTGGGAGGGCGATGAACCTAAAAAAAATTCCCCGAGTTGTTATAATGATAATTATTGTGAAACGAACCAATTTAATAATTAAAAGTAATCTTTTTATATGTTTGTATAATTGTGCTGATTTTGATTAATTTTTTGTTATTTTTTATTATATTCAAAGTCCTGTCATAAAGATTGTTGCAAGGAAATGTATACAGATTTCAACAGAGAAATTATTTTTTTTTAAAACTTTATTAAAACATAAAATGTATATTTATAAAAAGTAAGACAAAAACGGAATTACTCAAATGTCCCCCTTTTTGCCTTGACACAGTCATTTTATCTCCGTGGCCAGTCATCAATAGCAGCACGCCGCACTTCTTGAGGAAAGCGCTCAACTGCTCGGACCAAAGATTGTTTGAGGTTTTTCAAGTTAGGGTGTGCTCTGTGCCATGCCATCCTCTCCAGGTCAGACCAAAGCCGACAATGGGGGTGGACTTCTAGCAAACAGAGTATCATTTAGAGGCTTGACAACAGGTTCCAAAATATCATCCCGATAGTTTTTAACGGATGTTTTAACTCCTGTTTTACAAAAATAGAGCTTTGTGGTACCATGAAAGCAAACAAAACTTTATTCTCGCCCTCTCAATATTTTTATTGGGGAAGGTGATCGCCTCCCCTCGCCACCCCCTTCAAGTGAGCGCCTATGAGATATGATATCTGAGGTGTTTTTTTATATTATTTTATTTTGTTCTGTTACTTGATGTCATAATTTGCTTAACGTTGAGTGACTAGTTATTGCCAATCGAGAGGCGTATAATTTAAATCGAAAGAATTTAATACAATTCGAAAAAAATACACAAAAAAAACGGTAATTTGTAGGTCGTATGTAGATTGCTTTATATGTACTTGTAATCCAAATAAATAACTCGGTTTCTTTAATCGTATGAATTTCATCAGCTAACCTTATTATTATACAGGCATGAAATGACAGATAATTGATGTCTAGTATAAACATATAAATTACATTAATGTATCACATTGAATATTAATTATTAAATACCACCTAAATTATTTTTTGCCTAGTGTTTTTTATACGTCGTTAAAAACAGGTTTGAAACTGCATCAACAGTGATTTGATTTACATTTTTTTTTGCTTAGAAATAAAAACGAAATGATTTTTAAAATATCTCGCCAGTTTCTAAAAGATTATTCTTTTTTTTTTTTAATGAAGAATCAGCTTCTCCAATCTAGTTTTTTTTTTTCAAGATGCTTTCATTTTTTGAACGTTCATAGCTAAGCCTCTAAATTTTTCAGTTGTCATTACAGACCTTAAAGATCTTTTGCCGCCTTTATCAGCCTTATCTATCTCTACCATTCTTGGGCTATTTCTTTCCAGTCATCTGCACGCAGCTCTATTGTATATTTATTGATCTTATTGATTTCTATTGATTCGATCTATCAGTTTTCCGAGGTTTCGACTCAAATATGTTTGTCATCATCGAGAACTCAAAAGTTCTTGTCCAGCCTTCAAACAATTGTCCTTAAGATACCCCCTATGTTTGGGTTGAAACGTCGACAAACTCAATAAACATGATGTTTTACTGTACACCCTGATTATTTTGTCGTTCTTATAGATAATTTATTTGCGGTAAAATAAGGATCATGTAAGGATTTTACTAGGATTGTAATTTTATATGAGAAGAATTCGATGGTGGAGCCACAAAGCTCATTTCATAAGTTCAAACATAGTCCGAGAGCACGTGAGAATAAAAATTAACATTATTTGATGAAAACTTTAAAGCCGTTTTTTGAATAATTATAATATTTATATTTAAAAAAAATGAAAGTCTTCCAGTTGGATCTTGCTACCTGTAAAAATGGCGGCTGATTTAAGAAATATTAGACCAGTAACTTCAGGATCGAAATGGAAAATTCATTGCGAAAAATGGGGGAAAAGTTTTTAAATTTTTAATTTGTATATATGGTTCAGACATGTAAAAAAACAAAATCGCTAACGCGGGACACCAAGGAAAAACTTTGTACAGCCAAAAAGATAGATTTTTTGATATTTTTTTTAATTTTTCACCCATAACTCCTAAACGGTGCATCGAAGCGAAAAACACACTCTTTAAGAATCGAATGACTAAGCATAATAATTTGGTTAAGTGGTATGGTCGATAAACGGTCAACCAACTCTGATTTTTACCAAATTTGTCAAATACAAACATAAATTACTATAAATGACCCTGCTTCTTGGAAATGATTTGTCTAATAGAAAAAAAACACAGAATAAAAGTTGTAGAGCATGAAATTCCGAGCGTTTGTGGAATTAAAATGTGAAATTTATGGTTCTTATGGAACAAAAGAAGTTCCAATACGCTATAACTTATTGCAGAGCCATCACACGAGTTTTTGGCGCCGGGGGCAAAATTATATCAGGAACCCTCTCCTCACATACCTCGAACTCCGCCAGTAGGATATTGTCTCTTGTTTACGGATAATATTCGAGCTTTCGGGCTGAAGCCCCTCTCTCCCCTCCAAATGGTAAAATATAACCATGTTTTACGGAAAATATATTAAAAAATTATCTCTTAAAGTATTATTGTTCGTGTAATTACATTTAAAAGGACTTAAGGAATCACTTAAACACCATTTCATACAGATAGTTAGTTTCTTTCTTTTTTTCCAAAGTAATTATCGTAATTTTTATGAAAAAAAAAGCTTTCGGAATGAAGCCTCCCCCCCAAAATTAAACCCTGGATCCGCTAGTGTGTACCACTACAACCCATGAAGAGTTCAGTACTATTTAGGAAAAGTACTGTTTCTTTGTCTACCGTTGTGCAAGGTGATGATTTGACCGAGATCACGCTCAACCGCCAGGTTTTCTCTTTAATTAATTATGTTAATTAAGGGCACCCACTTTATAGAGGCTGGGTGTGCCATAGGAGGGTCTACCTACCCAGCGTCACCTCACGGTCACTGAAACAGAATAAATAATTTTTCTGCCACGAGCCGGGAATCGAATATGGGAGGGACCTTCAGTATTGGAAGCTCAGTACCTACCACTGAGCTACCCCACTCTCTATATAGTTGGGTAATGAGAAAAGAAAAAAACGTCATGAATTAATGATTTTTTTAAACACAGAACTTAGCCATGTTTAGCCGCTCAAAACTCGTCTTTAAATGGTTTTAACAATAACAGATCCTACTTTCATTTGTAGAAATTTTATCTAGTTTACAGTGAATTTGTTGTTAATTACTTTAATTAAATATTTTTTATGTTGTTGCTTCCTATTCAACAAAAAACACGTAAATCGCTTAAAAAAAATCTTAAAATTCCTAATTTTTTGCTTTAAATCGGGCAATTGTTTATATGAACATTTTTGTAGATCTTGATGTCTACTGTCGACCTTTTAAATATTTCATTCTACCTATGGGACACCCTGCATATAATATTTTATATTACTAATATATATACATAATAATTGGCATCAGTAAATTCATTATTGTTTGTAATAAAGAGAATAAGTACCTTATATTGTGACCTAGTTATACTTCGCTCCTTTAGAAGAAATCCTAAATCAACCCCCGAGGAGTGTTCTTTTATGAAATTCCCCATATTCTAAGAATCGCTATCTTATCGATTGAGGATTACATTGTTGCAATTCGAAAATATTCTTCAATACATGAGCTGTTTGCAAATCATTTTCCTCATAACATACTTGTAAACAGCGCTTCATCAAACGTTTTGACACGCGTATCGTAGCTTCAAAACTATATTTCATCAGTCACAAGTATTATTTGTTTAAGGAATAAAAATGATCTAATCCCACCATTTTTTTCGTTTATAATAGTCACTATGTAATGGCCTTGGACTTGAATGTGGTACCACTTTTTAAGTACGGGGTGTTGTGCAATAAGTAATCGATGTCATAAGTTGTCAACTTATTGATATAAAAGCATTATCTATAAACATGTATAATCGATCAGTATTTTTAAAAATTAAAATTTTTTAGAATCAAGCACAATTATATAAGATATAAATTAGTTTTTTTATGTAGTTATGAAAATCTATTATATACACTGATATATTTGCATTCTAAACCGCAATACTTCTTTATTGTTTTACTTATGTTCTATATAAACATATTTTTGTATAGAACTATTTATTTTTACTTACACTTACCTATATATGTAATATATAGGATGTTTCAGGGTTACATGGCCAAAAATTTCCTCTGAAGGTATGTCCACAAACGCTTTATTTAGGAGATATTCAAACCTAAAGATTTTTGTTGTTATAAATTATTTACGTTATCTATATAAATAAAATAAAGGTTTTGTCTGTACATCGAATAGAATCGACTAGTTTGATATATTACGTAAAATCTTAGATTAATTAATATCGTATTAAAGCTTATTAAATGAAGAAGTTTTTCGTACATGTAGTATATTTGGAGAATGATTAAAAAAAATAGCGAATAATTTATGATTATTAATGGAAGAGGAAGATGGTTGTGTTGATCAGTCAAAATAGAAAATAAATAATTATATTTATTTTTATATTTGCCGACGTTTCGGCCTGAAGTTCTGGCCTTCATCACGGCTAAAAAAAGAACCAGATAACAATAGGTATGAGAAACTATAAACATTGAATAATAAAGAATTAAAATTAAAAAGATGAAAAGTATGGACTAAAAAATATAGGTAAAAAACACTTAAAGTAAAATGAAGTAGATAGAGTAGTAAAATAGGTAAAATAAAGTAGGTAGAATGATAATAGTAACAGTGAACTAAGAAATAAATACTAAAAACGGTAACAAAACACGGACTAATGAAATAAACATAATAAGGTAACATAAGAAATGAAAAATGGTAATCTTAGAATGAAATGTAAAAAAAAGAAAAGGAATATACTATCAAAATATACTGACTACGTATAAGAAAATAAAAAGTTAAAATATTGTAAAAAAGACGAATGAGTAAACGTATCAATATATATATTAACTACAATATATATAAAAAAAAAATACTGACTTTGAGATATAGGTGAGGGCGGAACCAGCAGAAATGATGAGGAAGCTATACTGATCTTACTTGGTATACTTTTTTTTAATATATTCTAAGATTTAGTTGTTTGATAATTTATAATATTAAATAATTGTGAGTTGATGATTGACTTTAGTGAATAATAGAAGAGAAGTATGGTTAGAGTGATCGGTCAAAATAGCAAAATAAATAAATAACCCAGATGAATGCCTGAATTTCGGAACGAAACTTCGGCAAATGTAAAAATAAATATTATTTATTTTTGGTTATTTTTTATTTTGACTGATCATCCCAACCATCTTTTCAATTTTTCACAACAGTCAACCATCAACCCACAATTATGATTATTAAAAATTTATGAATAACTTAAGTTACTATAGCCTATCAAAAGTCCATTTTGTATGTTTTCTCAATGACAAACTCCACTTTACTTTGAAGTAAATATTGTCTAGTTTACTGTGATGCAGTTAGTAATTATTTAAATTAAGTATTTTTTTAGTTATCGTTTTCTATTCAACAAAGAACGCGAATGCCCCCCTTCCAAAAAACACTAAATTTTCTACCTTTCTGCTGAAAATTGGCTTATTGTTTATATGAACTTTCTTATAGCTCTCGAAGTCTACTATTATCCTTTTAAAAATTTCCCTCTACTTACAGGACACACTGTGTAGATCTCCTATGACTCAGATGTGGAGTACCGTAGACGGCAGAGTATATTATTGTGAACTGCACTGTCTTTGATGCACTGAGGTACAGAGTACTGAGGCAAACCGGTCTTTAGGTACTCACGGAGAACGAGTTCCTTCAACTATTGGCGGAAGCATGACTTCCTATATTACAAAGATTTTGTGCACGTGTAGAACTCTGTTCTGGGCCCGGCACACTTCAATCTCTGAAGAAGAGAACCTGCTGCTAGAAGGCTGCCTGAGGAATAATAAATTGAAGTAGAAGCTACCTCCATGGACCAGTCTTCTTCCTGAAGACCTCTAGTGGATCCAGGATTTAATTTTGGGAGGGCTTCAGCCCGAAAGATTTTTTTATTTCAAATATATAACGATAATTGATTTGAAAAAAAAAAATGAAAAAAATTAACTACTTATATGAAATGGTGTGATTCTCGAAGTCCTATTAAATGTAATTACACGAACGGTAATACTTTAAGAGATACGTTTTAGTATTTTTGTCTATAAAACATGGATATATTTTACTGTTTTGAGAGGGGGGGGGGGCTTCAGCCCGAAAGCCCCTCCCCTCACCCTTAGATTCGCCTGTGCTGAAGACAATTACCTTTATTATAGTGTAAAATATGATTTATATGTTTAACTGTAGAAAAGGCATACGCATGGTGAATGCAACCACTGTAAAACCCGTATAGCCAAAAGGTATAGTAGGAGTGAATAAATATCCAAATTATCCGAAAATCTATTACTATCCTAAAACAGTTCCTGAGATTTCGTGATTCTATACCCCTAAAATACGTCAGCTCCTAATTTCCTCACTCATTTTCCCTCATTTCGATTACGGCTGCATTGTATACGGTGGACTGTCTGGTGGGCTTGAGATCAGATTGAAGAGATTAATTAATTGTTTCATTCATTCATCTTTGGAGTCCCCAGGCGCTCCCACGTCTCCAGTTGCTATGCCGAGTTGAAGTGGCTCTATCCAGTTTTCCGGCGGCAATATTTCCTAGGTATATTCCTTTTCCGAATCTTTACAACCGAAAAGCCATCTTACCTTCTTGATTTGTTTATTCCTTGTTCCTCTAATCCTCTGTCCATAAACGGATCTACGGGGGTGGGGAGAAAGGAGGGGGCTTTCGGGCTGAAACCCCCCCAAAATGGTAAAATATAACCATGTTTTATGGACAAATATATTAAAAAATTATCTCTTAAAGTATTATTGTTCGTGTGATTACATTGAAAGGACTATAGGAATCACTTAAACACCATTTCATATAGGTAGTTAGTTTCGTTATTTTTTTCCAAAGTAATTATCGTTATTTTTATGAAAAAAAAAAGCTTTCGGGCTGAAGCCTTCCCCCCAAAATTAAACCCTGGATCCGCTAGTGAATAAACGTGTTTGCTCCCTCCATAGAATCGTTTCCTTTTAAAAATCCTTTGTCATGCATGCAACCTTTTTTTTTTAATTCCCTACTTATCTCAATACGCAAATCCTCTTCGTTAATCTCATTTAAACAAGATCCATTCTTCCAACTCCTTAGCAATCAATTTTCCGAATACATGCAGGAATAAAATTTCTTATTAAAGAGCTGTCATTCTCATTTGACAGTTATGTTACTGTTAATTATACACCATCAATATTGTTAATTAGAACACACTAATTTATATTTATGTACAAATCAATATATTTACTCATACTTAATTTATTTTAATTATTATATTATGTTAGCAACAATTTTTCTTATTTTTTATAATGCCAGACAATTTTCACCTTTTTGTTCTTTATAATTATTCTTAGGTGACTAAATGTTGAACAGAATAAAATTTATTTTTCTTTCTTTCTTTCAAAAAATAATATTTGTGGTAATAAACTGATTACTGAGCAACTCCATTATGTATGGCGTTCTATATCAGAAGCTAAGATTTAAACTGAACGTACTACTGTAGTGAAATGAATATGAAGCTATTAAGCCGGTTTAATTAAATTTTCAACGATTGTAAGAGTTGATACCTACATAATCAAATTTTTATTTTATCAAATTTCGTCCACTTATTTCGCTTATCGCTATATTTCTTGACAAGGATATATCCTTAAAAAACGGCTCTTGTAGATTTTATTCTCAAAATGGAAATATAAATATTTTTTTTTTATTTATTCATGCTATTTACAACTGTATTAAAAAATTAAATACATTAAGTAAATTTGATAACAGAAAATAATAACATGAAATGACTTGTTGAGAAACTACCCACTAGTAGCACTCTAAAAACGAAATGTATTTACAATAAGAGATCTCGAGGCCATCTTCTTTTCAGACGCCTCGGAGGGTTATCAGGAATAGAAGAGGAAGCAAGATTAGAGACGAGAGGATTCGGATGGTTCTGAAGTTTATTATGGAAGGATTGGTATCTGGATTGGGCCAAATCGGAAACATAAGGAACATTAAGGTCATTATGGATTATTTTATTGGTGACAAAGTAAGGAGCATTAAGGATTTTCCGAAGGATTTTGGATTGGATACGAGAGGAATTCGATGGCTTAGTGGAGCCCCAAAGCTCAACTCCGTAAGTCCAAATAGGTCTTATTGTAGTCATGTATATAAGTCTTTTGTAATTAACTGGAAGCTTATAGCGTTTGTCTAGCAAGTGTTCGAGTAGTCGGAAAATCTAAATATAGTTAGTAATCTATACTTACACTAGTTAGCAAACATTTTTAAATGTTCTTGGTGCAAGTACTATTTATATGTTTAAATATAAAATTTGATTTGAGGTTTTATTGAGTCGAAAACCGCATTGGTAGTCAAGATCGTTTCATAGTAGACATTGAGTCTCCCTTGAATACTCCTGGCACATCACAAGATCTCCATTGAAGACTTGACATGATAACTAC